CTCGCCCATATCTCTGTGACTTAAACTGCGTTTCCGGAACTCAGGAAGCCTCCTTGATTGATAGCACTAACATAAGAAGGCACTGAGCTAATTAAATCACACTGCTGCTTCCCAACACTACTGTCACAGCCTGACCTAATTTTGACTGCACTACAAAGCTTATCAGCAGAGTATCTATTGAGTTAGGGGAACTATAATGCTGTTTCTAGGAACAGATAGATTTTTTTTTTTTTTTTTTTCACCTTACAACTTATTACGCTGCTGTTTATTGTTCCTCTTGCTGGGCGAGTATTAAAAACTTACGACCTATGGCATATGGTCTCTCTGTCAGTATCTGTTTCTGGAATATGGTAGGTATGCTCCAGTTCAGAGAGGGATGGGGAAAAGGCCATGGTAACTCTTCAGACATGAGTATGGGCTGAGATCCTTGTCTCTTTTAAGGACTTCTTTCTTATTTAAAGTGATTTGGAATAATGAAGTGGTCACTGTTGCATCTCATGAGCAGGTATACTCTGCTCTCCTGCTCATTGCAGTGAGCTGCTGGGGGCTGCCTGAAGCTGGCAGGAACCCCATTCTTGCAAAAGTTTTGTGCAATTTCTTTGTTGGTCTTGGTTTGACGCGTGCCAGTCCAGCCGTGTAGATCCAGGATGAATCAATATGTACCAAAAGATGGAGGTGGCTGAGGACATGTGGAAAAGGAGGAGGAGAGAGGCTTCACCTTCTAGCTGGGACTGGAAGACTGAGAAGCTGAGGATGCTTTTGTGGAGGTTCAACCCTCTTCTGAAAAAAATAATTTACTCTTTGATCCGTGTTTAATTGTATGATGTCACAAAGTCACCTGTAAACAAATCTCTCGTTCCCTAGAAACTTCTGAGATTAACTTAGAAATCATGAGTAAAGACTTTTTAGATTTTGAGTGTCTTCTGTTTTGAGCAGTTAGTCTATGTAATTGTGATTGCACTATTTCCTAAGACCCCGCCTGCCCCCCCCCCCCCCCCCCCCCCGCAACTCGCGTGAAACGGTCATTTATTAATAGGATTACAGCAGTTGAGCTTTTTTAGAAAAATACCAATTATTATAAATGTTGTGATTAAGGTCAAGAGAGTTACCAGCACATTAAACAGAAAGGCAGACTGGAGCACTCCAGTTGTCCAAGCTCTGTTATTTGCACCACGCTACACAAACTTACTGTAAGTCATGAGGCATCTCCTTTCTGAGTATTATACTAACTCTCACTTGTTTATTTGCCTTTTCTGGGTGACCAGGTTGGTTTGAAAAAAAAACGTTTCCACTTACTCCTGCACTGCTTTAGAAAATAAATTTTATTCTGCATGTTTCCCTTCATAGGTAGCTAGCATTCATCACAGCATCTGATTTGTCCCTTGTCTTTTTTTAAGTGTGTCTAGATACCTGCATATATATTCATCTTTGGACATTTCTAATTTTGCCTTCACAGAAACTTTTGACTTTTTTTTTTCCTGGGTCTATACTGTCTGGGGAGCTTGTTGCAAGTTGAAACCAAATTGCTTGTGTAGGTGTGTATGTGTGTGCAAGAGACAGAGAAGGGAAATAAATTGAAATTACTGGAAAAGACTAGCCAATAAAGGGGACCCATGTAATGTCAATACATAATGAGATATGGTGAAAGGTCAGGCTGGCACCATTTTTCATCTGAAAGAAGAAATCTTATGGTGTCACACAACTTCTTTGCAGCAGAAGCGAGGCGGGGTTGTTCTTGGTTTTGTTGTTATGGCTTTTCCTTCTGACCTGACACAGCTTTCCTTACGTTGTGTGTGCACATTGCTGTGAGCAGCACCATGATGGATTCTTTCATGCAATATTTACTGTGTATAATCACAAGACAAATTCTTCTAAAATGCCACAAACAAAATAAATGCCAAGTATATATTACTTTAATGTTTCGTCTGGTATTAAATGCTTGGAGGCATATTTCAGAAGCAGCTGTAATGAATATTCCTGCAGTAGAGAGGGAGGTGACATTTCATAATTATGCAATGTCTTCTGAACCATAAGACTTTAAAACTTAAAGAAGTAAGAATATTTTTTATTTTCCTTTATTCGTTTGATCTCCTCTTAAAGCAGTGTATTCTTTTGCCATAATAATACACAGGGGGGTGTTTTTTCTTTTCTGTATTGCTTTCCCAAACCTAATGGATATGGAGCAGTGGCATAGAGACTAAAATGAAGGACACTTCAAATGTAATTTGAAGTTATATGAATATAATATGAATGAAAATGTAATATTAATGTAATATGGATTTAAAAGGCAGCAGCATGTTGGCATAATGTTGCTGACTCTTCTAATTTTATCAGAAGTCTCATGATCCATGCTGAACCTTCTTTTACCTTTCTGCTCTGTGGCCCTACTGTAGCATTTCAGTATTTTATTATTTGTGTTGTGGGAGATGATAAAAGCCCCAGTCGTGGCCCAGAGCCCTGTTGTACAGCAGCTGTGCGTGGCAGAACAAGGAGGATGCTCCATGTCCCACGATGTTGAACTCTTGAGGTGTGGAGGGGGGGAGCAGCCCTCCTTGCACAGGGAAAGCTGCAGTACACTGAGCATTAGTGCCGCTGTTCTACTTAAAAAAAAAAAAAAAAAAAAAAAATTAAGAATCAACAGATTCTTTTAAGGTCAGAGTGTGAGACATGGGATTGACTCCTAAACAAGGACATCTCTGTCCTTGCAGGAGGGACAGTTTGCTCTATGGGAAGAACAGCCTGGATCGATGGTACTAAGGGAAGGATAGGTTCAATTTGGTTCTTCTAAGCAGTAAATAGCATCTTTAGCCTTGCAGAGCACCAGCTGTGTTATCATACGGGGAGGGCGCTGGGGCTGTAAAACACTTCTGAGCAGTAGGAAAGCAAAGCTGAGGCAGCTCCTGTGCAGGGAGGCAGGTGGATATACTTGTCTGACTAAATGTGGCCGGAGGTTGAGCGTTGTGTATATGTTCAGTTGTTGTGCTTTACATGGAAATAACTGATGCTAGGGAGCAATTTTTGCTGGCCTCACAAAACTGCTAAGAGCAGGGGTGCATTGGCCTTTAACCTCTATTCACCTTTGCTAAATAGGAGCTGCCTGCAGGAGAGTGGAGAGGGCGAGTGGATCAGTCTTTGAAAGTTGGCGCGCGGTGGCTGGAGGAGCAGAGCTGGCTGGAGGATCTGCTGGAGCTCCCTGCTGTTGTCGCAGCTGGAGCTGCTGGGCCACTCCTGCCCAACTGGGAGGCTGTGAGCATGGCAAGGAGCTTTTTGCTCTTGTCTCCACTTGGTTAGTCTTGAGTTGGCCCCACCAGGCTGTTGTCTCTGCTGATCTGATGCTCTTCCAGACCTGTGTCACCTTGTACCGTTAGATTTGTGAGCACACCAGTAATGCAGGAAACATCCATTCCCTGCACGAGCTCTTCTGCCTGTGCTGGTGCTCTGCAGAGAGGCTCCGCTGAGGACAGATTTCTTAAATACTTGCTGAAGAGGTTAGCCTAGGCCAAGCACATTGAAAAAATGATCTAAATATAGCAGACTGAGATGGACGGGGGCAATGCAAGGTAGCTGGGAATATCAGGCTTAGTCATTGCAGCCTGGAATAATTATTCTCTTCCTGTTCGTTTAGTTGACCTGACACTGTCCTGTTCAGGGTCCTTTGCTTGAGTCTCATTTTCTTCAGCCTCTGGAGAGCGGGGGTTAGAAATTTGAATTATTAGCAGGCTGGTATCAGTTCTAGGCATTGTGCAGCAGTTGATACCACAACAGGCTGTGTCAATGGGGAGCTGTGTGCGGGCTGGAGCAGTAATGGCATGGTGATGGGGGGGTCTGCAGGGATGCCAGAGCGATGCACCCCAGGAATCCCACCTGCGCTTGACATGCGTGTTAGCCGAGCAATTGCAAGTTGATCAAAGAACCAGTAGAGGGGTGTGAGAGGGAGGTCATGTGCAGCACAGAGCCCTGAAAACAGAGCTGCAGTCTTGGGGAGCGGGGTACGGCTGTTGCAAGGGACTTGGGGAGAACGCACGGGTGTTACCCCAGCAGCATGGGGCTCCTGTCCGTGGGAAATGGGGCCGGGAGTTCAATGGCTTTGACTCCTGTTGGGCACAGCCCTAATTGTTCTGCTTGCTGGTTGTGATTTAAGACTTCAGTTAGGACTTTAAGGCGTATCCACTTTTATTGAACAGGAGCAGCACACTGATGAGCAGAGAGGGTGAAATACTGGGTCTTTAAAACTCACCAGAATTACATTTTATCTCTTCTGCTGTTTATTTTATGTTACTTTGTTTGGCAGCAGGACTGTAACTCAGCTTTCTTATCCTATCGATCCACTCTCTGAAAATTTTAATAGTTGTGAATTTCGCGGTTCAGAAATAAAGAAAATCGTAGAACCAGGAACATGCTTTGGAGACTTGCCGAAACAGAGCTGTAATTTGTACATGTGGTATTAGCAACAACATTGCAGTTTTCCTACATGTACAACATGTAAAACAGCATAATGCCCTGTAGTTCAGGTGGCATATACAAGAAAATTAAAGGAAGGGTTCTGCTTGGACTTAACCGCTGGTCCAAATCCTGATCCCTCTGACAGCAACAGGATTTTGGTATCGACTTTGAAAGGAAATAGCATCAGTCCCACTGCTTCTCCTGCTTAATTTTAATGGTTTAATTAAGGCTTCTCATTTGCATAATGAGTGTGATAATACATTTAGAAAGACATATAATAAAAAAGAACAATAATGCGGAGTTCATTTGGAAATTGAGACAAAAATAACTGGAATGCAAATGAGTTTGCAAAGGGTTCATTCAGGGGATTGCTAGGTATTAATAAATATCTTGGCGATCTCTTCTGGTGTCAAATATGAGTATGCTGAGTAAGTAAAAGAGTATTCTCCATGGTGAGCATACTCAGCTCCAGCCTCGGTCCTCCCAGGTAGATGTATGCAAGGATCCCAGGCTGCTGCAATGGAAATGGGTCTGAGCAAACCCCGGGGGTGCAGGCGATGGTGCTCACCTGTTTTCTGTCTCTGGGTCTTGCAGCCCCCCCCACCGTGCGGATCGTGCACTCGGGCCTGGCGTGCAACATCGAGGAGGAGCGCTACTCGGAGAGGGTCTACACCATCCGTGAGGGCGAGACGCTGGAGCTGACCTGCCTGGTCACTGGCCATCCTCGACCACAGGTGAGCCCCCGCCATGCCCCGTGGCAGCCTGCCACTGGTCACCGCACCTTTCCTCTGCCCTCTCTCTCTGAGCCTCTGCAGGCTGGTTTCACCTTTTGCTAAGGACTAGACTGGTGCAGGGTGGTAGAGACCAATGCAACAGGACCCGAGGCGGGGGGATTTGCCCAGGCTGTTGGTTTGGTATTGAGGTGTTGCAGAAGAAAGATCAACAGGAGAAAAGTTTATGACTTTTTGAATGACTGGTTAGGAATGTGGCTTTAAAACCCCCAAGCCTGTGTTATGCTGTAACATGGAGTCCTGATGTAAGAGTCTGAGATCCATGGAGGTTGCTAGAAGGAGAGGAAAAACAAATACAAGGATGAGGCAGCTGAACATAAACAGCATGCACCAGAGGGAACAGCTGGAGTGGGGGCACACAAAAGCTCGGGGGAGTCTCACTGTGCTCGTGGGTCTTGGATGTCACTGGAACCACAGCACTGCAGCCCTGCAGCCAAGAAAGTTAAACAGAAATGAATTACCCTTTTCCCAGGCCTAGCTTTATTTTATAGCATCACATTCAAAGCCAAAGGGTCTTGTCAGCCTGTACTACAGCTTCCCTGCTGTGTCCCCACTCACCACCCCCCTTTGCCCAGGGTACCCCATTAACAGGTTATTTTAGATCAGGACCATTCGAGACCTGTGTAAGTGTAATGCTTTATTACTCCCCTGCTCTGCTTCTCTGTTTCCATCTTTTCTGTTGCTCTTTGAATCAAATCTGCTCTCAGTTCCCTCAGAGTGGCCATTGCCACTTTGTCTTCTGCTGTGTCCCTTGCTCTATTACCAATAGCTTATCTTGCTCTATTGGTAAATGAGCAGAGTCCTGAGAGCTGAAGGTGCATCTGTAATTAGCCAAGATTACCACGTTTCACGGTGCGCATATTTGTATGAGATTTTGAACAGTAGAATACCTCGCAAGGGTTTTCATTGCAAGGTGGTGAATTAAACACCTCCCTCCTGCAATCGCATAGGACAGGTGGGAGCTGGGGAGAGGGGATTCACTGGAGACCTCAAGTCTGCAGGTGAGCGATGTTCCTCCAGGAAAGGGAGACGTGCTGCTTCCCTGCTGTTTATTCTGTAGCTGTTCCCAGTTTAATAAGAAGATTTAAAAATAAAGAAGCTGAAGTTTAGCCTGTGCTGGTTCTAGGGAAGACATAGGTTGGGTGTTGTCTTAGAAAACTCTACTTTAACTACACACAGTTGCTCACTCTCAGCTGCAGTCACACATTAAAGCCAGCTATAAAACAAGCAATTTTTCTTTTAAATTAAGTGATCTCTGTCTAGTCTTTGCCAGGTGAAGAAGAAAGAAAAAAGCCCTAAAAAAAAAAAAAAGACTGGTCCAGGTGTTTTGATAACACCCCAAATGAGAACAGTGCTGTTTTAAAATCAGTGCTGTTATTATGAGGTTTAATATTCAGTGCCTCGCAAGGTATGGAAAGTATTTATTGCCCTGCTATTGTATTCTCTTCCATTGCTTGTTGTCCTCTTTGCTCTGGCATTGCCCATGCCATGGGAGATTGGTGGCTCACTGAATGTTGTCAGGGGAGATGTGGGCAACATGCTAGTGGCTCCTTGTTGGAAGAGCCAAGTGACAGACTCTGGATTGATACAGACCTGGTTCACGAAAGTTGATAATAACGTTTTAATGTAGCACTGATTGAAGCAGGAAAGGAGCACCTCCCGCCTTGGGGACACCCTGCTGTCTTTTAGGGGATCTGTTATGGCATAAGGTGCTGTTCAACGTGGGGAAGATGGGATCTGCCCCAGGCTGTCTGCCTTCTCCAGCCACCTCGCTGAAACAAGCCAGTGTCTCTCAGTGCCTGTTAGTAATGTTGGATTCATTCTGCCTTCCCAAACTTTTCTTATCCAGGCTTATTTAACAACTTTTTAATCATAGAATACCAGGTTGGAAGGGACCTCTAGGATCATCTGGTCCAACCTTTCTAGGCAAGAGCACAGTCTAGACGAGATGGCCCAGCACCCTGTCCAGCTGAGTCTTAAATGTGTCCAGATCCAAAGCAGCTGGCTCTGGACGCAGCAGTTTTTGGCATGCCATGTGTTTGGGTGGAGGTAAGTAGTACATTCATGTGCAGGCAGAAAAGAGCAGGATGAAGGTAGACTGATATTTCCAGTGTGCTTCCTTGGAGAATGTTTCTTTCTCAAACCATCTCCTCCATCTGCTTCAGCAAAGCTGACCAGCAGCCTGCGAGGTTTGGTGCAGCTGAAATCAAAGATCCCTCTCAAACCTGCCTGCTTGGAGGGACGGAGGCAGCTTCAAAGCGAGTGGGGCTGTTATCCGTCAGGAAACGCTTTGGACCAGCTATGAAAGGTGGCGTCTCAAGCAGTAACAAAGCTTATGATGCTGCTGCTGAATCAAAGAAAAAAAAAAAAAGGCTGTTCAACCAAAACATCTTATCAAGAAAGCAACCACACAGCTGCTTTTTCATAAAAATCTCTATTTTCTCATCTGAGATTCAGGATGGAAAATTGATTTCTCTTCATTTTACCTGTTTATAGATTTTCTTTGTCAGCCAGCACCTCAGTCTGCTCTCTCACCCTTGCTCTCATGTTACAGCTCTCTGAGACTTGCAATATTTTTTGCAGATTAGTTCCGTGAGAGCAGGGGGATAGTTTTGGTAGTCTCAGATGGGTGATTCTGCAGCGAAATATAGGAGGCTTGGCAGGGCTGCATTTGAACATTAGCCTCCTTATCACCTTCGTATTAAATTTCCGTTCCATTTTAGTCCTCCAGAAAGTTTAAAAAAAAAAAAGAGGCTAAGACACCATAGCTTTTTGACAGGCAACTCTGTGGGAGCTGCAGCCCCTTGGACTCGTTGCGCGTGAAATTTGGCTTCTCCTAAACAAGACTGCCGTGGATCTCACCAGCGTTCGTGTTGCTTTTGTCAGTGGGGCTGCTGGGGAAAAGCACTGATCAGGGTCAGGCAGGAGATCAGGGTGGATGCAAAATCAACAAGCTGGTGCTCACTGTTTCCAGCTGTCAGAGAACTACTCTTACCTGCCAATAATTACTCTTGGGTATTTAAAATACAGATAGTGTAAGATTTTTATTTATTTTGCTTGTTGGATACATTCTGCTTTATGGGCCTGCTTCTTTAGAGGGAGGTCTATAGTATGTTTCTGTTGTGACCAAGAGGCAGTGGCTGGCTGGAAGGGGTGATGTGGCATTTATTTTTAAGCCTTCCTTTTTTGTACTTGCAAATTTTATATATGAAATTTGACAACATATTGTTGTTAGATTCTCATGTTCAGACAGCCTTCAATATGAGATGGGTTTGAGGGGAAGTATCTGGCAGGATTCTTCCTATTCTTGCAGATGGAAGTGGTGAAAATACATTTTTACTTTTCTGTTTTCTGCAAGAGTCTTCCATCCACATTTTGTGATAATTGCCAGTATTTTCAGTACTTCAATTTTTTTAGTCATTTTTGCACAGAAGGTTATCATATTTGGTTTGCAAATTGTATGGAAATTATTTTCAAAATGATATTTTATCAGACCCTGGGAAGAGAGTTTATAAAATATGTAATTATGTATCTATTCAAAGAATGCTGTTCAACTTGCTTGTGTTTCTGAAACTTTTTCAATTATTGGCATACATAGAAACTCCTTTTGTTTTAAATGCTGCAAGAAGTCAGCAACTCTGTACGCATTTATAAAATCCCCCATCAATGTTCACTGTATTCCCCCCCCAAGTCAGGAGTGGGCAGAAAACATGCATTAACTGAGGAGAAAATGAAGTGGTGAAAGTGCTGTGAGTTAGCTGATGGGACCGTCTGTCCTGTATCCTCCCTTCCCAGAAGTGGCCTTTGCAGATGCTGGCGTGGCTTGGACCTCCACCTTGCAAAAGCTTTCCAGAGCTGTTTGTGGGATTGTGGTTTTGGTTCTCGGAGGCTGTATCGCGTTCACTTCTCCCGCCGTGGCAGCAGCAGCGAGTAACCAAGTCACGCTGCAGTAATGACTGCGAGGTGATGCTGGCCACTGAAATGCAGTGTGCAGTACCAGTGTTACTGCTGGCTTAGAGTCTTCGCAAGGTTTTACCAGGTCACTTGGATTAATGAATTGGCATAGCCTGCTTTATTCTTTTTTTTTTTTTTTAAACTATGAGTCTAGGATATACGTACATCCCCTATTTTCTGCAGTAAACTCAAGTCTTGGCCCACCGTTGTCCTACGCTGCTCCTTACACTTCAGCAGCAACTGGATAAAGGACCATTAGGAATTCTTGCCTGAAACGAAGGCTGCTAGATGTATTGTGGAGCAGAAATGCCACACTAGTATGACAGCGGCTCGTGGAGGGGGTTGAGGATGTTAGCAGGGAAGTGGTACACTTCTGCAGGGATGCCAAGAGCAAAGTGCTTTCTGCATGTGCTGTTCTCTTGCCTTGTGTCTCTGCTAATTGTTATTGCTTTGGCCATCACAGGTGATGGCATTAAAGCTAAATGGAGGCTGCCAGGTTCCACCTGTAAACACACATGTGGTCCCCGTTGCATAGAGATGAGAGGTGAATTTTGGGCTTCAGTCTTCACAAACATTGTGCAGGTTCATTAACCATCTGCTTCCGTTCCTGCTTGGTGAGGTACGGGAGCCAGGCAGCAGTGCGCAACTAAAAAGATCATTCAGTATGTAAGGCTGGTGTTAGTAATGAGCTTTATTTAGTGTCCTTAAAGTGAAACTGTGGAAATACCCTCTGCAAGTCTTTAATTTTGGGCATAGCATTTAAGAGTGGGTGCAAACGCTAAAGCAGAAAGTTCTCTTCCTGATTTGCAAGCTGAGTTTGGTAATTGAGAAGCTTAATAGCTAGGGGTTTGGAGCTACAGTTAATTACACCTACAAAATTAAAGTCTCTTTAAAATCATGCACTCAACAAACAATTTTTTTTCTTGTTTTGGGGGCTAATTAGCTGCATTCACCTGCTTTCCTGATTCCGAGCTCACAGTAGGTCTCCA